TTTCAATCAAATTAATTGTAGAGTATTGAAATCACCAATCCTAATCAAAGTTTATGTAATAAATTTAATTCACCATTCCAATTAAAATTATAAATTTGGACCTTATCTCATTATATTATTTTTCAATTCGTTTTTCTTTACTTTTTTTTATTGTCTATATTTTTTTTTCTCATATTCTCATAAATTGCATTGGAGCAGAAGGTACAAAGCCTTTTAGTGCCCAATTTGGCATTTCGATTGGGATTGCAATTGCAAGATCCTATCCACTTTTACAATTAAGAACAAATTTACGGCCATAAGAATTTAATCAAAATTTCATATCTTGTTTGGCAATAAGGTGTTTTCTTTTGATGTCTATGATATACTATAGTGTAGCTCTAGAATTAAATTTGTTTCTCTAACATGAAAATCCACATCAGGTTTCGGGCTTATGTATTTGTAAATCATATATTTGGAACTTGAAATTGGCAAGGGTGCATGGTGGCCAATAGGCAATAGCCATTACATACCACTGATATGCATCCAATGATGAAAAGTAAATGGGAACCACAACTGATTTTTTTAATTGTCATATTAGATAAAAACTCGCGCTTCGTAATAAAAGTATAATAGAAATGTATTAAACATATATGAACGTTTAAATATTAAACAATGAAAAAGAAAAAAAATTATCAATTTTTAATGCTATGTTATGCATAATATTTTGTATATTTTGATAAAAATTTTTAAAATTAATATATATAAATAGTAGTTTATATATTGTAATTATATTTTTTGTTACATTACGAGTATTGTATTTTTTATTAATCATATAATCATGTGTATGATTTTTTAATTTATTGTAAAATATAAAGTTTTCATAAAAATATTTAAAATAAAAAAAAGAAAAATAACTTAATTTTAATTTTATTTTTTATATTTTTTTAATTTTTATTTTATTATAAACAAAAAATTTATAAAAATTCAAAACTCATAAAATTTGACCCAATTACAAACTTACGTCAAGCAAACACTCACTTTTTTTTTTTTTCTAAATCCAATTAAACAACAACTCACTATGTCTCAATCCAATCATAACCAATACATTATTACCTATCAAATCCAATATCTTATTTTACTTCTTTATCAACCGATGATTATTTGACAAATGTAAAGCAATTTAGCAACTCACGCCACTTAAGTATAACTTTTATTGTACATTATTAATTAATTTGCATGCTAAAAAATATTAACAGTTTCCTAATGTCTATCCAAAAGCAATATCAATTAATTTTATATTATTTTAAAAATATTTTAACTAAATGATATTTTATTTTTAATTAAATTTCATTAGTTAAAATATTTAAAAAATTTAAATTTTCTCCAATATTATGACAAATTTTTAAAAAATTCTCTGGTATCGAAATATTTAAAAATCTATTTGTTCTTTTAAAAAGATTCAATTGTCATGCTAATTTAATATTTTATGTTTTAAAGAGACTTCATTATTAGATTAATTTAATATTTTATGAAAAAATTTTATTTATTTTTATTTTTATCGTTATTTTACCGACATTTATTTTTTACTAAGTAATTTATTAAAAAAGTAAAATTTTTATTGAAATATTTCAAAAATCTTTCCAACTCTTTTGGTAACAATTTTGTTTTAATTTCATCATTGGAATAATTTTCATTATTTAAAAAAATTTATAAAATTTACATGATACATATAAATAAAAATAATTATGAAAAATTATAAATTTATTTTTCTAACCTATATTTTTAGTTTTTTCATATTTTCAAATAATTAAAATAAACTCTTAATATAAAATTTAAATTATTTATATAAATAAAAAAATAAACAAAGAAATAAGAAAATCAATAAATAACAAAAAAATAAAACTAAAAAGTAAATGAAAAATCAAAGACAAAAAGATAAAGAAAAAAAGAGTTGGCGACTTTTAATATATGACAAAAGCGATTCTATCCTTAAATATAAGCATTAACTCTAAATCAAAGACAAAAAGTATTCTTCAAATCATTTTTTAAGATAAGATTGATGTGGCTATATAAATTTAAATTATAAGTAAGGGATAGTTTTAATTGTTTGTACAAACTCGCAAAATTAATTAAAGAATAAAGAATTTCATCAACATTTATATGGTTTTCTTTTTATAAAGACATTTATATGTTTCACATGAGAGCTTGTAATAACATTTTGTGGGTGTAATCTATGTAGCGAAAAGGACAAGACTTAGAAGAAATATTTTAGGAAAATTTATGAAATTTTTTATTAAAAATAATCTAATAAAAATGTTAATAAATAATTTAAATCAATGGATTTATAGAATTTAATAAGAAAATCAATAATATGTAAAAAAATATTAAAAATATTATTTATGATTTAAATTTGATTAATATTTATTCAATAGTAAAATTTTTATCTCTAAGAAATATATCATATTTTTTAAAAATTTTTTTGCATTTAATCTTTGTAATAATACTTTTTAATTTATAGATTTGAATTTTTTATTTAAATTTTGATTTAATTATTTTTAATGAGAAATTTTACAAACTTCATTATAAAAATAAGGTAGAAGAGGATGACATCTTCCTTTTCCTAAACAAAGACAGGGAGCTTTAGTAATAAAGAGGGCTTAAAGTGAGAACAAATGTGTGTGTTATAGCTTGAGCTATTGATATCATTTTTTTTATAGGCTCATAATAATAATTAAGAGTGCTGGGATTGATAATAAACTAATTTGTGAAGAGATATATAGTCCTATATAGCTGGCAATTTTTGTTGTTTTTTAACAGTAGAATAAAGCTGGCAAATTCATTTTCATAACCAGAGGGTCTGAATTTAAGATGGGGAAGAAGCATATGAAGCTAGAAAAAGGGCGTTGCGGGGATGGTTCCTCGTATAGTTCTGGCCTTCCAGGTCTTTTATGCTAGAACTTAGCGTGTTGACTGTAGCAGATATCAGGACCATATCCGATCAAAAATAATAATTACAAAAGTACATGAGAGGATCCAACAAGGGCCAAGCATGAGGCAGACAAGGGCCATGACCCCAAAAAATTTTCACCTCGCTTATGCTACAGAATCTGGATCCACCCAAATATTTTTTTTGGCTTTCTCGCCCTTTTGAAATTATTATTTGGCTTCCCTGTACCCAGTTTCTGCCTTTGCCTTTGGGATCCAGGTTACTAGGCCGAGGAGATCACAAGGACAAGCTGCCTATGCCAACTTTAAGCCAATGAAAAATTGCTGAAGACAGGAGAGACGCGTTATGATTGGGACTGCGTGCACTTGGTGACTTGACGATAATAAATTATATGCTTTCCAACCAAAGATGCACGATTAACTTGCTCATTATAAGCTCCTTTTAAGACCTCTTGAATTATGAGAATATTTCATGAGATCATTTGCGATATGTTCATATAAGAATTTGATTTAGTAAATTTTAACTTGTATTTATTACATATCATATTTTAAAAATAATTATATAAATTAATTAAATAAATTTTCGAGTTCCATAAAAAGATAATTCTAGCAACTGAAATATGGTTTTAAAGATATGAAAAATTAGATGCTTGGTCATCTTTGATTTCTTCATTTTTCTACCACAAACGTACTGACTTACCTCTTAATTAATTTCGACGCATATGCATTACTAAGGAAGCTGCACGGAATGAGAGTTTGGTTGGACAGAAATTCATCGCGTGTATGTATTAAATAATCTCAAAGTGTAAGCTTGCCCCCAACATGCATGTCCTCTGTCTGCAGTTTTTCACGTAGCTCAAAGTTGTCAGCTTTTCTGACCTGCTTGCTTTGGCGTTCCCACTTCCCATCTGTCACATTTTTTAATTGGTTTTACCTCTTAAGTTGTAACTGCCAAGGTCAACTCGGATAGAGCATGAATCGCCACACATAAAAGTCGAAAGTAGCAATCTCAATTCCCTGTTATCCCCCTGAATCATTTTCTGGATATATATGTTCCTGCTTCATTCAATTTGTATTTACATCATATAAAATATTAATAATTTAAATATTTTATTATATTTTGTATAAAAATTATATATTTTAATTTATATCTATAAAAAAATATAAAATATATATTTTTTATTTTTATTAAATTTATATATAATTTTTATTAAAATTTAAAATCATATAATTTTCACATTTTTTTATTATTTTTGAATCGTTTCATGTCATATTTTGAGCTTCCCTGTTCTAAAACCCCGTCCTGTCTGGAAACAAAGACTATTTTGGACGCAAATTTTTTTAAATATATATATTTTTTAAAATATTGATTATAATAAAAAAAGAAATTAAAAATGGGTAAAAAAATAAAATTAAAAAAATTTAATTAAAATTTCAAAAATTTTTAAAAAAGTGGGCCCTATCAATTAAAAAAAGAAAAACGAAATCGGTTAAAAAAATTGGGTCTCACCCCTTAAAAAACATAAAAAAAAAAAAAAAATCTTGGTCCCATATTTGTTTAAAAAATTATAAAAAAATCTGTTAAAAAAAGGATCCCACACCTTGAAAAAAAGAACGTAGGCCTAAAATAAATTAAAAAAAATGTGAGGCCCACCAAAAAATTAAAAAATTAATGATTCTCATGCTGCAAACTAAAAGTCCGACACGTGACCCCTTTTATCGCAAATTTACAACATATATCTATCAGATGGTACAAGTAAACATCTCCCAAAAAAATTTCATGAATATGTCATTGTTTACTCTGACAACAAGTATTTAATTTAAAATTAATTAATAATAAATAAATAAATTAAATTTAAATATAAAATTACATAAAATATTATTTTTTTATAATTATTAAATATTTAATTTAAAATCAATCGACATAAATTAAGATATTTAATTTGAATATAAAATTATAAAAAATCATATATTTAATTAATATAAAATAACATCATTTTAATACTCTCATTACATATAGATATAATAAAAAACAGAAATTCATTACATGATAAACTTGAAAGAGATAACAAGTAGGAGTAAGAGAACGTAACATCAAAACAAAACTTAAGTTTTAATATTATGTTAAGTATCTAATCTACAACAGATAAACAGACTCAACATAAATATAAAATTATAAAAAATTAAATATTTAAAATTCGTCGGATAATAAAAATTTAACAATAACATTCACGCAAGAACTCATAGAAAATGAAATGGATCCATTTCCTTTATTTATACCAACCATTCTATGCATCCTTCTTTGTTTGGCGCACCTACAGCAACCAGTCATGGCTGAGTTTTGCGTTTATGTCCAAACTCTACGCAAACACTCATTTCCCCGTCTTCTCCGCCTGCCTTTCAATTTCAAGGTATTAATTATTTCTGTCTCATTTCTTACTCTTTCTCATGTTCCATTATCATTATCTGCCATACTTTGTTTCTTAATCTATCTGTATGTTCTCATTGTTTGATTTCTTTCTTTCTTATTCTTTTTTTTTAATTATTTTTCTTTAACGAATCGTACAAGACTTCATGTCCTGAAACCTGAGGGATTAGAAAGAAAGTGGTGGTGGTTGAAGTGCTTCTTTGACATCTAATAACCACGAAATGCATAGGGAGAGATTCTTCGTCTGTTGAATCAGTAGCTTCTACAAATCATTACCAAATGGAAGAATCTTCAAATGGAAGACTAATGGAGATCCTGAAAGTACAAGCACATGATGAAGAGAAGGAAGTTGTCTTGGAAAATTCTACAGCATCAAAACCAGACGTTGAATTTGTCAGAGACATTACTGCTAATGGGAACTCAGTGTCCGTTAATGAAACTCCTGATGTAGAGGATTCCAGTTCAAGCAGAAGCAGGTTCGACGAAGAGGCAGAAACTGTGAAAAGGAGTTCTCAGGTGGAGAATTCAGAGAATATTGAAGAGGAGAAAGTAATTTCTGATTCAGTTGTTGAGGCAGTTGAACTTGAACCTGAGGTTTCGTTAACTGAAGAGTTAAGTCAAGATATCAAACCATCAGTTAAGAAATCATCAGATTCTGATGTTGCTGAAATAGATGGCAAAGAAAAAGAAGAGAACATTTCACCATCTTTGGACGAGACTTTTGCGGATTCTTCAATATTAACAGATTTGTTAGTAAATGGTTTGAAGGAAGAAACTGAGCAGCTGTTCTCTTCTGAGACCACTGGGGATTCTGCAATCTTAACAGAAGTGGAATCAAAGCGACTTGATGAGGAAACAACTCCGCCAGGTTTGGATGAGACTAATGGCTCCATGGTTGCAGCAGATGTCGTGTCCAGGGGAATTGAAGAAACAACTATTTCTTGTTTGGCTGAGAATGGTGGAGTTCCTGAAGCTGCAGTAGCCCAAGGAATCACGGAAACCAAAATTGCAGCTTCAGACAATAATGCTGGGGTTTCATCAAGTTTCCCTGATTTTGCATCTAAGAAAAATGTTGAAGATTCATTGCAGGCAGCAAATGTTCCTATCGTTGAGACCAGAGATACTGGTGAACTAGTAAACAAGCCTGAGATCCGTGAAAGCACGGGAAATGAGGTCAATAACTTTAACCCAATATCTCCTGATCATTTGTATGAAGGAAAACAATATTACTCTTTATGTTTCTTTTTTTTTTTTTCCTAAATAGTTCAAGACATAAGTTTGATTTTCCAGGTTTCCAGCCTTAAATTTGTTTTAACTGAAATTTGCTTCTCTCGTGAATTTTTTTGACAGCCTATCATATCCCTGAGTCATCGTTCCCAGCAACCAACTTCTTGGAAGAGTTGCTGTGGACTTTTTGAAGTTCTGTGGCGCTCAGACAGATAAAACTCAAGGTGAGGAAAGCTATTATAAAGCTTTATTTTTTAGCATCCATGAAAATTTCCGTTTCCTTAGAATTTGTTGACTTGCTCAACCCTGAGTATAGGAAGATAAGGTAGTTATGTGAGGATGATTTGCAGTTGCGAACAACCCCTTTCCCCTCCCAGTTCTAAAACTAAGTGGAGTGATACTGAGACTTGGAACTATGGTCAACGGGTTCTCATCTGATCTACCACAAAGGTCCAAAAGGTCATCTCTTGGAACTCACTATTGCTGGGAACAAACTAGCAACAAGATTACAACTCACCATGCAAGATATACTACAAATGAAGGTGTCTATGACTGGAAGAAGTTTATGGTTCCCTTCAGCCGATTACGGAATGAAAACTACTAATGGAGTTATGATTAATTTTTTTTGTAGTTTTATTGATGCTGTGTGAGGGGTAAGTTCTCAAAACTGTGCCACTGCCACTACTACCTTTTAGGTACTTGGCATGAAACTGCATATATTAGTCCTTTAGCAGCACTTGCTTGCTTCCTCGTACTCCAATAACTGCTGACTGTACTTTCATATTTGGAGAAGAAGAGGCGATTTGACACAAATTTAGCAATCAAGGCTTCTTATGGAGTCTAGATGTGACTGTAAGCTTCAATGATCAACCAAATCTGCAGATTGGTGTGAATGCTGATGGAGGCTACATGTTTTTTATTTAGGAAACTGTTTTGAGTAAATTGTAGTTTTGGTTTTTGTGAGAAAGAAAGCAACTGACCCTTGCTAACAGAGAGAAGGCTTGATGCTCTTGATAGACATGGGAATATTTTTAATTTCAATTAGGGAAGTCTTATCAAGCTCTTTTGCTAGATAAATTCTTCCAATAACTGGAGTAAAGGCCATAAAATATCTATAAATTTGCAGTGTCTTTCCTATTGATGGAACAGTATTCTGGTGTTTCATTAATCACACTAGTGGTCTAACCTGCAAGTAACAGGTTGGATCTCTATGTTCGGGCAACATAGTAACTTGAGTGTAAAAATCCATGCATTGTTTGAGTCTATGCAACTTTCCAACTTTCACTTTTCTAGGAGCCGAATAAACTCAAAATCATTTATAATAATCCAAGCACTCTGCATCAACTCATGTTTTTTTTTGGTTGCAGAGACAGTATTACTGGAAAAAAGTTATGCGGAATTACAAGTTCTTGGTGGAGTTTAGAGGCTGTTATGATGTTTTTTCAGCATTTTTCTGCAAAATAATCATTAAGAAGAAATGTCTAGGTCCCCAAGTGAAGCTTGTTGAGAATGTATTAGAACTTGGATGTTGGATCTGCCGTTTGTGGAGTGTTTCATCAGTTGGCCTTATAGTTACACTGTTTGTATTGTCTACGATACTTACATACTAATTTATGTGATGACATGATTTCATTTCCTATTGGTAAGTTGGGTTTCCTCCTCAACTCACGAAAGTTTAATGGCAAGAATGATGTTAGATTACATGAATAGCAGCAGCAGTTTCAGTTAGTACTTTGAGAAAAAAATAGTATGGTTAAACTTGGAGATGCCTAAAGTATGGTTGAACCATAACTTAAATCGGTTACTTCATGCAACAGCTTCAGTTGATACTTTGAGAAAAAACTGTATAAGCACCTAAAAATACATGCAAGGCCCATTGTACAAAATCAGTCTTCTACTAGGAAATGAGACAAAGAAGTGCAACGTAAAAAGCAATTATATATAATTGTCATGTATCCATTTTCATAGTTACGTCAATTTGTTTATTTTCCTTATACAGAACTCTGTTTCATTAGCGAGTTCAGCACCCCACAAACAGCTCCAGGGAGGGAAGCAACTGAGCCATTGTATCAGCAGCGAAGTACATTATGAAAGAGGAGAACAAAAAAGTGGCAAAAAAATCGTTGGAAACGCAGAATAACATCATTTTGCCCATCGTGAAAAAAAGAAAAGAAAAACTAGACTCAACTCTAAGTAACCCACGTACTTGGTAAAAAAACGTAGGTCACTCATGGAGCTCGTGAGACTAACAGCTCCATTAACAAGTGAGCGAGGCAGATTTCCTTTTAGACCATTTTTCAGTGCAATGCAAAAGCTAAAATCCAAGCGAGACAATGCTTGTCGCTTTTTCTTGCAACGGGAAAAGGACTTACTTTGCAGTTAGAGGTGACAATTGAACTAGTTCAAGTGGTTTAAATTGCTTTTGACTTCAGATTATTTTGAATTTGAGTTCATTTTGAGTTTGAATCCTTTTGAAATTAGATAATTTAGAATGTTTCAAATTGCATTTTTTTTTCAAGGTGTCTTTGGATTAAAGTTCAAGTTTGTGATTTTGAGTTACTTGAAATTTGGTTTGAATTCGGATCACCACTACTTGCAGTATCTAAATAAAGGGGATGTTTATTGACCAAACCATGAAGTGTGTGTTTCAAACAAATATCGCCAATGTCTACTATTCAACAGACTTCAAAAATATGATCAATCAGAAAGCACGACAATGTAGCTGGAGAGTAAAAAAACTGCAGTAATTTGCAAATTAAGCAAATCAGCTGACAGAATATTAAGAAATTGAAGGTATGGACTATTATCATATCTAAGGCAGATGGCCCTTGGCAAAAAAGCATGATCAAAATAATAGAGCCATGGTCTACAAATCACTATTTAGATAAATAAGCACAATTTCACATTGCAACAATCACAACTGAACAAACCAAAAATCAACAAAGATTATAATCTTCAATAAGCAAAAGTAAACCTTTCAAGGATGGAAATTTGAGTTACCACAAAATCAAAACGACAATGATAAAAGAAAAAGAATAACAATAGAAATTAATTGCATCAAACTAAACTATGGAAATTCCTTAAAAAATTAGATGGAACAATTGTGTTGGCAATTAAAATTGTTAGCAAACCAACATGCATCATACCAGGGCCAAAATTATACTAGTAGAACTGAGATTCATAGGCACAAAATTGAAAACCCAAGCAAAATTATTCCGGCTATCAAAATTGAACCCATATTGATAACGGTAAGAAAGTCCTAACCTCTGACTATCCCTCTCCGCATTAATCTTCCACCAGAAATCATCACTCACGACGGCTTCCTACGGCAAAGATACATCACTGCAGCCGCAACAACAATAGTCCCAGCCGTTCCTGCTACCACAACCGGCAAATTCAACCCCTTCAACGCTTTCTCTTCACAACCGAAATTCTCAACAATCTCCCTGGCCTTTCCATTAATAGCTTGACTTTTCCACTCCTCCACCGCCTCCTTCAATTCCAGTATGTTCAACTCCAACTCCATCGCCTTCTCCTCGAATTCTCTTTTTTCTTCCTTATTTCGCTGTAATTCAGCCGTCGTTCTAGCCACCTCTGCTTCCAACTCCTCAACTTTCTTACTGTACTCATCGATCTTTTCCCTCATTTCCTCTTCGATTCTAACTTTCTTACTCCTTTCCTCCGTTTCCCTCACTTCTAAAACCCCCAATTTCCTCTCCAGTTCCCTCTCTTTTTTCTCACTCTCGACTTTCTCTTTCTTCAAGTCATCGATTTCCTTGTCCAGTCTCTCAATCACCGACCCTTTCTCTTCCAATCCACTCTTCAATTGAACCACCTCCTTATTCGCTTCATCTACTTCACTCATCGAACTTATCAGATCATGTTGAAGCCTCGAAACCTCGGTTTCAAGCTCAGCCGATCTCGCGGCGATCGATTCTAGAAACCTCTCATCCTCCTCCCACTGATCCATTTCTAGTCTCATTTCTTCTTCCTTGTTTCGCAGTTGATCGATTTGTAGGGTTAGTTTCTTGATCTTTTCCTTCACTTCTTTATTCTCGTTGCTCAGTTCCAGATTCTCGCGCTCAAGCGCTTCTATTTTGCTAGACAATTCGGTTAATTTGGCTTCATCAGCGTCGTAGAAGTTCTCCGCCGTCTGATTCTCCAATTCACCATTGATGATCGTCAAATCCGCCATTTCCTTGAATCTCAGTTTGGCCACCAAGAAAGCCAGAGAGAAAAAAAGTTAGGACTTAGGAACTGATGCTGGATAAAGTCATGATTTACAAAAAGTTAAATAGATTGGGCCATAGGCCTTGGAGTCCAGTAGAGTCTGTAAGTCCAGTCCAATAGTGTTATTCCAGCAGCGTCCATTTTTTGTTATTTTCCCTTTTTTTTTTTTTTTTTGTTTGCTGGCAGTCTGCTTTAGAATTGGATGCAAAATATCGAGATTCTTGGAAGGAAGCTTTACAAGGAGAAAAACTTCTAATTGTTACGATCATGCTCTGAGAATTTAGTGAAAACCTTTTTTGCTCTCTTTTCTTCTTCTTTGTGATTTTCAATTTTTTTTTCTCTCAATTCCATCGTTGACGATTTAAGCTTCATTATTTTGATATTAGAGCCTCGCTCGTGGCAAGAATGGTAGAAGGAATCAATACCAGGCTTCAAAGGAAAGTTAAACAAATGCAGACTGATATGCAACAGATGAAAAAAATCATGGAAACAAAGTTTGACCATGTTCAGTCAGAAATAGCTGGAATGAAGGAAAATTTTCAGAAGCTTCTCAATCAATCGAATATCCAAGAGGAGAATTGATCTACTGGCAAACAAGTCTCGTCTTCTTCAATGGCTCCAAAGTCTTCACCGGCAAAATCCTCGGTGTTTGTAACAGCTCCCTACCCTGAATCTTATAAATCTCTTAAGCTTGAATGTCCTAAGTTCAATGGAGAGGTGGTTTATGAAGTTGGAACAGTATTTTGAAGGAGGAAAGGTTCCAGAAAGTTCCAGAGTCAGAGTAGCGATGCCAAGTCTTAAAGGGAAAACATTAATATGGCATCAACACTATGCTTGTGTGCAAAGAGGTCTAGATAAGTTGAGCTGGGGTGCCTACATTGCTAAAATGTAGCACAGGTTTGTGTTGAGAATTTGAAGACCCTGTGGCTGAATTGGTTGAGCTAAAACAGATCGGTAATGTTGAATAGTACGATGACAAGCCATTGGGGTCCTTAATTTGCTACAATTATCTTATTGTTATGCTTTAAGCATTTTTGTTAGTAATCTCAAACTTGAAATTGCCCAATCCCTTAGACTATTAAAACCAAAAACCCTTAACCAGGCCCTTCACTTGACTTAGTAAATCGAGTCCGTTATTCACCTTATGACCAAACGACCTATATCAACCTTCAAACCAACAACTTACAAATAACCAACTTTATGTTAAAGACCAGCAACCTCCCATTTCTACTCCTATCACCAAAAGCACCTCCCAACCCTAACCTATTACCTGCTTTAAACACTAAACCTATTTATCCCACCATTAAATCCAATATTAGTACAAATCAAGTGAAAAAAAAAAAAAGACCTACTAGCAGAAAACTTTCACCTGCAGAATGGAAGATAAGAAAAAAAAAAGGCTTGTGTTATTGGTGTGGCGACAAGTACTCTCCTGAGCATATATGCACCAAATTCCAATTGTATCAAATGCTAATAGAAGGCTGTAAAGAGGATGAACCTGAAGCAGAGGTGTCCGTTGATAATCAGTATAATGTTCATACTGAGATATTACCTACAGATGAAGCTGAGAACCTATCACCAGTAATCATTATTATGTAGCCATGATTGATTCGGGTAGTAGACATAACTTTGTTGATGTAGTGGGTCTCTTTGTATGACAAGGGAATAAAGTGTCAACAATTGCTATAGCTGGTGGGGCTAGTTTGTTTACAACTAGATTCTATAAAAACATTTAGTGGGCGTTTGAATCACCGAATCTTTCAAAATAAAAAGTGCCTTAAGTAAAAAGTAATTTTGAAGGAGAATATGTAATTTTTGAATTTTGTTAATTTAAGAGATGTAAAATTTTTGTATTTGGTTCAAAAGAATGTAAGTTATCAAATAAAGTCTTTTGTTATATTATTTTTTATAACACGTAAATAACAAGTGACATTCATCATATTGATATATGAATATCACGTGACACATGAATAACACATTATTTTCGTTGAAATTAAATAATTTTAAAAAATAATTTTTTTATATTTTTAACAAATATAATTTTATAATTTTAATTATTATCCTAACGTTATTATCCCTAAGCAGATAAAACACATAAATTTGACCTCCTTGGATAGGAAAGGAGTAACAAACCCCCTTTTTGGAGGTTTTCAAGGTAAAGCTCCCAAAGTAAATTTTATGTGTAATAATATTAAGTCAATATATTTTATATTTTATAAGTAATAATGTTAAATAAATATTTTTATTTTTTATTTTTTTATATTTTCAAAAAATATTATGTTTTTTATCTTAGAAAAGTTTTTTCAACAGAAATTACGTTTTTATCTTTAAAATGTCATTTTTTTTCAACAAAGATTACGTTTTTACCTTAGAAACATTATCTTTATTGAATTTTGAAAATTATATTTTTTTCATGTTTTTAGCGAACATTGTATTTTCTATCTTAAAAATACTGTTTTTATTAAATTTTGGAAAATATATTTTTTTACAAGTTTAGCAAAGACTTTGTTTTATCTTAGAAATATCGTTTTTCCAATAAAAATTGCATTTATATCTTAGAAACTTGTCTTTATTAATTTTAAAAAATATTTTTTCATGTTTATAACAAATATTGTGTTTTTATCTTATAAATATCATCTTTTAAATGAAAATGATTATTTTTATTTTAAAATAATCATTTTTGTTAAATTCTACAAAATAACTTTTTTCATATTTTTAACAAATACCACGTTTTTATTTTTAAAACGTCGTCTTTGTTGAATTATGAAAAATAATTCTTTTATCTTTTCAACAAAATCGTGTTTTTAATCATAGTTTTTTTGAGGATTTCAATAGTATTATGTTAAAAACATGATTTTTGTTTAAAATATATTAAGAAAAAATTTATTTTTATAATATTTTATAAAAAATTATTACTTGTCTAAGGTAAATAATATTGTTTATATAATCTGAAAATGCAATTAAGTAAGAGCAAATAGAAAAAAATTTCAACTTTCCCTCCAAAATCTTAAAAAATCTTAGGGATAAAAATTTTTTTTATTCCCTTTACTTTCCCACTTTTTAACATCATTGGCAATCTTAAAAATCCAGTAATCACATTTTCGTAAACCTAATCAAGGAATTAATTACAAAATGTAAGATTTCGAGAGGAAAAATTACTTTCCCCTCGAACAAATACCTCATCGGTGGACAGTAGGAGATGTTAAATTCTATACTGATTTCATGAAACATGTTTCTAGAATTTGATGCAAAATATCAAGATTCTTGGATGAAGCTATATAAGAAGAAAAATGCTGATTGTAACAATCATGCAATGAGAATTTAGTGAAAACCTCTTCTCTCTTTTTTCTTCTTCATTCTGATTGTTTACTTTTTTTTCTCTTTATTCCATCATTGAAAGCTTTATCATTTTCATATCAAAGCCTCGCTTTTGGTAAGAATGGCAAAAGGAATCACTACCAAGCTTCAGAGGGAGGTTAACCAGATGTAAACAGATATGTAGCAGATGAACAAAACCATGGAAATAAAGTTTGAGCACTTTCAATAAGAAATAGCTAGGATGAGGGCAGAATTTCAAAAGCTTCTCAATTGATTAAATATTCAAGAGGAGAACCAATCTATTGGCAAACAAGTTTTATCTTCTTCAATGGCTACGAAGTCATCACCTGTAGAATCCTTAGTGTCTGTAATAGCTTCCTACCCTAAATTCAATAATCCCTTAAGCTCGAATGTCTTAAATTCAATGGCAAGGACTTTCAAATGGTGGTTTATGAAGTTGGAATAGTATTGTAAAGGGGGAAAAAGTTCCAAAAAGTTTTAGAGTCAAAGTAACCATGCTGAGTCTAAAAGAAAAATAAAAGGGAAAGCATTACAATGGCATCAACACTATGCTTGCATGCAAAGAGGTTTGGATAAGTTGAGTTAGGGTGCCTACATTGATGAAATGCAAGATAGGTTTTTGTTTGAAGAATCTAAGGACCATATGGCTGAGTTGGTTGAGCTAAAATAAACAAGTAGTGTTGCACAGTATCATGGTGAGTTCGTTGGGATCTTTAATTTGTTACAACTATACAATAGTCATGCTTTAAACATTTTTGTTAGTAATCTCAAACTTGAAATTGCTCAATCCCTTAGACTATTTAAACCAAAAACCCTTTACCAAACCCTTCATTTAGCTCAGTAAATCGAGTCCATTATTCACCTTATGACCAAACTATTGAGAAATTAACACGCATACGCAACACTCACACACAAAATAATAATCTCAAATCAAGAATAAGAACACACAAATATATTTGTTTCGATCAACTCAAAATGACTTACTCCAAACCCAATCCACTAATAAATAAATCTTTACAATTATGAGACTTTTAGAATAAGAAAAGTCTCCAAAAAGTCCTTACTCAAAACTTAACTCAAAACCTAATTGCACATTTTAATAGCCTACTTATCTAACTATTCTCTTGGTGTCTAACTATTTAGAACTACCAAACCAAAACCAAAACATCTTATTTATAAAGGTGAAACCCCTTATACCTTTACTAAACTCTTGATATGGGATACAAGACAAACTCAAAACTCTTATAACTTTCAATGTGAGATTATGAAATTTAAGGCAAGTCCCAACAAATCCTCCCTTGACTTGAATCTCTAAACACTTCAACAATATCTGTAAAGCTAACATGCTTACTTTTTTTCTTTTCTTTCATCATAGGGATCCTAGCAACTAAGCCTTCATCAAGCATGTACAAATGATTTTTGACCCCATTCCCTTGTGGAATCACATTATCATTCTTGTACACTTTCAACCAATCATTACTACCATAATATGTGTACCCCTTAAAAACTAACTCACCTAAAGTAATTAAATTGTAGCTATAACTCAGAACATACCTTACATGATGAAACGTTCTAACAATACTATTGTGAGATCTAAGGCGAATACTCATAATGCCTTAAATTTGTACCTTTTCATTGTTGGCAACCACAATATCCCAACACTTCTCATTCTCATCCAACTTCACAAAACAACTCCTACATTGCAAACATGAACTGTAGCAGTAA